ATACGAATTGCGCATATTAATTCATTGATAGTGCTATCCATAGCAGTGTCGATGACGTATGGTCTCCAAGTTAGCAATGAGTAATGTATGCGGTCTTTGATGCCAATTTAGCGATTGACGGACGAATCAATGCACCACTCAGAATCAATTAGATTCAGTGCCAATTAACACTTCCTTGACAGTAGTCTTCGAAGGAAATTTAAAAATAAAATATATATTTTTAAATTGACAGTCGAAAGTGCTGGTCTTTGGAACAAATTTAAAATATATTAACTTTTTAATTCTATTTTTTAAACTGTCTCAGGAAAGTGTGCATAAAATGTGAAGTGTTTTAATAATTCCGTACTTTTATAGAGCATGTATTAAATGATATTTTCATGGAATCCGATCTAGTTCCAGTCTCGAGTTCCAAATATTTGACGCGTGGAATTTATAGGGCAAGTGTTGGAGTAGTGGAGTGTGATTAATTCGCAATACTGGGTTAGCGAGTTTAATATCGGCTTAACACTGAGATGAGTCCATTAGGAGTTTTGAAGAAAACCAAGCAACAGCTGTAAGTTTTTATCATTTCCGAAAATTGTGTAAACGATGCTATTTTGAAATATTTAGATGGTAGATATGATTATATGGGTAGATAGTGATAGATATAATACACATATATACATTGATATATAGATAAACAAAGTGTCTCATGAAATGTTATATTTTGTATGAAACATGAAGGTTATATAAATATTTTATATTTTGTTTAATAATTGTATAAATTTTATGTAAAACTTTTCTGTTAAATTTTAAAATTGATTTTAAATTTGAAACCAAACGACTTTTGTATCGCTTTGTCCTTATCTACATATGACTTCTCGGATAGCCATTCAAGATAATTTACACTAAGTATATATATATCTCTCTTTTTTACATAAGTATAGTAATAATAAAGTATATATTCTGTAGTTTCATCAAAATCCGTACTGTAGTTTTTGCGTGAAAGAGTAACAGAGATCCATACTTACAAACTTTCGTCTTTATAATAATATTAATAAATGTATTAATAACATTAATATAATAAATAATATTATTAAGATAGTACTTATATATATTTTTAATAAGTACTGTCCATGGCGCTTGCTAATCATTTAGGTTCCCATAAATGAAAGTGTTTTTAAAATTATTGATTTTTGAGTATCCATTAAAAATGAAAATCAAATCTTTCCTTTTTTAGAATTTTATTTTTATGTAATAGGAACGCTTACTAGTTGGTGGCCTACCTGAGTGGTAAATGTCGCCTATATACTATCACGTTACTTTAGATAAAGTGTATACCTATTTAGTTGACTAATGTCTTGTGTGTTAGTGCTGTTAGTAGAATAATTGTGTAAAAATAATACTCCTACAATTGACTCTATTACTAAATCGATTTCAATGAAGATGGAGAAAAAGGATAGGTAATTAAATATTATTTAAATTGACTAAACATTATTATTGAAACCTTCAAGAAGAGAGTTTATTCCTTCTTAAAAGGCTGACTGAAAGGCTGAAGGCGGCAATTCTCCTAGTGTTGCGGGTGCTTATGGGTGGCGGCATCAGGTGAGCCGCAAGCTCTTTTGCCACTTATGCTATAAAAACACTTAATAAAGGAGGACAATAAAGAGAATACACTGATACCATTATGAAAGCCATGACCACTCTGTTAATAGTTGTGACTATAATGTGGACTAATGAATGCTATCAATGTACCATGTCAGGTTGACCTCCACGCGATTCTCCCTGGAAACCATAATGATAATTGCCTAGTGAATTTGCCACGATGGGCAAACTGGCCTCATGCTCATCTTATCATCCTCCACCGATGCCCCGTCAGCCTAAACCGTCAGCGCAAGCGGCTGCACCATAACATTATCATAAATAAAAAAAATGTTTACGACGAAAGAAGAAGAAATTAAACGCACTACAGTTTTAATATGTTTATAGGATTAATGAACATAAAAGACGTCATGATTTTACTCGGACAAGGTCAGTACAGCCGACTATAAACAAAGATATTGGAGCATCTAGTATTTTTACATCATTTAATAGCTCACTTGTATTTCAACAGTTACCTATTTTTTTAAACATAAAAGCATAATACAACTTAACTATGTAATCGTATCTATTTAAATGATGTTTTTCAGAATCCGTTGAATTCAAATAGGCAAAGAGCATTGGCCATACTGCCAATAGTCATAGCTTTATAAATCCTAGATATACCTTACCTAAGATTTATAAAATTGAAAATGTAAGTCAGGTTATGTCATTTGTGTACTGTTCGTGGTCTTCAGAGAGCATATTGCATATGCTCTCTGTAGACCACAAACATTTTTTCAGTACATTTTTTTTTCAGTTGTTCATAATCCAAAAATTTCATGTTTATTATTAAAATAGAATGGGATTTATATTATTAAAAAAAATACAATATTTACGCAATTAAAAAAATGTTTAAAAAAATTAACTGCAGGAAATCATTGACAATTGATTGATTAACATCTACATAGTAAACAGATATGTTACACAATCAAATATACAGGCTGTTCCAGACTGGGAGGATGTAAATTTCTTTTAGATAGTAATAATAAGGCAAACAAATATTTAGATATTTTCCATATAAACAATACTTTCTGTACATGGAAAATTTATTGAAATATTGTGCAACTAGACGTACATACATTGTAGTACCACGTGCAATATAATATTTTCTCGTTTATCTCGAATGCGGTCAAGCCAATGGTCAAGCCGTCGACCTTTTGTACTATCAAGCACGTTGAAATCAATCTGCATAATACACACATAAAGATTTAATCTCGTTAGTTATATGGTGTCTGTAATTGACCCACTATTGCACATAAATGCATAGAGATGTCTATCTTATTTTTTTTTATAATTGGCAGTTTTTTTTACATTAATATGGTATAAGCATTTATTATATTCAATAATAAGATCTTAATGATATTTGATGTGAAAATAACACAACAACTCTAGGTTAGGACAATTCACATAGAGCTGTCTAGTCTCACTAATTGTATTGTGGGCACTAGACAACTGATAGAAATACTAAAATACATTTTTTTTATGTAAATACGTACGTATTATATATTATGTATTTATACAAAAAACACTGATACCAATAAATAACAATCACACCCATAAGTACAATTGGATTATGCGAGGAATCGAACCCGCAACTATCGGAAATAATGGCGTGCTGAACCCCTGGACCAAGGCCGACAATGTAAACAATATCCAAACCTAATTATAGCAATAAAAAAATTTCCAATCAACCTTCAAACAAAATTCAAATTTAAAATGTAAATATATGGTTTCATTTATGTTGTACCCGCCAGCGGTAAAGACAATTTATTTCGAATTTCTAGTACTGGATTGGCGGTAGCAGTCTCTTACAGCTTCGAAGGATAAAATCCTTTACGTTCTGTGCATTGCAAATAATATCGAACTAACCACTTGTAAATTATATAGGTTGTTTCTAGCTTCAACGTCGATACACTACACAACCTTGCCCCATTTGTCGCTTCGTCGTCGTTTAATCTCCCAGTTTTTATATTTTTAATCAACTTTACGTGTGCTGTTCCAATCTCGTTGTATTTTTATGTGATAACGATTATCTCGTTATCAAACAAACTCGTGATATTATGTAATTACCTATTTACGACATTCACCTTGCTTGCCATACCAGTTATTTAAAAATACTTATTCACTAATATGAAGTAAGGAGAATCATCATCTGCTTCTTCCTTATCCTATTTATTTGGGGTCGGCGTAATATGTATTACTCCCTGTTCTTAACATATCATCTTTCACACAGTCCATCCATCACTTTTTCGGCCTTTCTCTGCCCTTATAGTCATCCACATTCATATGTAACACCTTTCTTAAAATATTATCTTCATTCGTACGCATTACATGCCCATACACAGAGAAATGAGCATAAAATAATAATGTATTAAGTGTTCTCTCTATTATTGAAAGGATTTTTTATCAAAGGGCAAACATGCAAACTGATGGTAACAAACAACCGTCATCTACATATTTATGTTGCTCCACGAATATCAAGTCGTTATGGAATTAGTGGAATCGCATTCATTTTCATTCCGGAGTACTACGGTGTTACGCTTCTTTATCTTAAAAGATAAAAAGAGCGTAGCCTCGTAGCTCATACCCGGCGGCTCACAAGGGCTCGCAGGAGACCGTGCTCCTGCTGTACCCTAATATCATTACTACATTTCTCCGAATATCTTCAAACGCATGTTAAAAGCAAGCTCCTAGGCGACTGAAAGCGCTGAGACTGGTGTAGCCAGGCAGAAGATACTTAGAATTAAAAAAGCTAATAATTAGTACAACTGAAATAATATCGCAAAGTCGTAAAGAATATGATGCAATGTGTTATAATGTAGACATATGGTCGTTTGTAAATAGATGACCCATTTACTCTTTAGTTGTATCTTTGATGCACTTGGTGCATGCATACCCATGCATTAATCAATATTACGAGAAAGGGGACAGTGTTTTATGTAACAAAAGACAACGAAGTCTCGAGTAAGGTGATAATATAAGAAAGTAATTAAACTCAATTTTTGCTTATGAGTTAACGAATCAATGAAATATTTAATAGCAGGAGGGATATTACGGATATTGTTATTAACTAAATATTTTAGAATTTACATATATAATTTTAAGATTTTTGTCGGGTGTCATATGCAATCCACCATCATGAACTATGACTACTGGTCTAAGTTACTGGCCTACTGCATTAGTGTTGTAACCACAAAAACAATTATTATTATTATTTTATATATATGTTAATATATACTATATGGGGGATAAAGTTGTCGAAATAATTAAAATAGGTACTTAGGGATACTCTGCTATAAGTAAAATGAATCACGGTCTTGTTAATATGTGTCTTGTTAATATCATTTCTAGATAAAAAATGTTCATCTATTTTGTTGCAGATCGTTAAACATGATCCACGTGGACGAAACGGACCCTGTTGGGGGTAAGTTCACCATATTAATGCATAAAATTTGTTTATAAACATTCAATTGCACTATTGTTAACGAGGTAGAATTTGTACAGTCGGTCAATCGGTACCCACTATGAAACTCCACTACACATCACTTCCGACATGTGGTTGTAGCCTACTCATGCATAAACGAAATATCTCCTTTGAAAAGTATACACTATATCCTGAAAAAACCATTGCTCCTAAGAATATCCTTCAATTCTTGTCCCTAACGGTTCTAGGTGGCGATCTTTGAAAAAAGGGCGAGCACTATATATGTAGGTCGCAGTACTGCAGGTCTAAAGCAGTGACAATAACCAAACCCATAAATAAATAAGATGTACCTATCTCTGACTCAACTATTTCAGTTGCCTAGCAGCTTGCTTTATAAGCTGTATTTCGGATGTGGGGTGTGTACAATTAAGCAATGGAATTACAGGATAAGAAGTCTAATGTAGATGGGTGATGAACCTACTACCGCGGTGCTGTCTCTCACATCTATTTGATATGTTAATGGAGTTTATTTCACCGAAGAATAATTTGATAAGTATCACAGTATTGCTTATTCAATTGCACGATGACTATTATTATTATTATCACAGGGAGGGTTTATTATTTTTTCTTAGATTTAGATAATAATTTTGTATTTTAATTTCCAGACAATAGTTATTGTTAAGAATAAATAAATAGAGATGTTCTCAAATAACAACTATATTAATTAGGTTAATAATCTTATCATTGGAAGAATGACAAGATCTTTTCCAGTCATCTTGTGATAATGAAGGTAATAGGAGGGCAATGGCCGAACACGATAGTTATAGAGTCAATATACAATATTAATGTTATTATGTTATGTTTAATTGAAGACACTATTAATGTCACCATATTTATCAATCAATCAATCAATTTTGCTTTTACATTTATTTTACTAGCGATCCGACCCAGCTTCGCATGAATGCATTACAAATATTTGAATTTCTCGGCTTGTTCTATACAATAGCACTTGCATTAAAATCTAATGTAAATATATAATTTAAAAGATATAAGCGAACAGACAGCGGCGGGATTTCGTTTTATACTATGTAAAGATGTGTATGTAGATGTGAATGGATTGAAAAAAAACGCGAATAAAAAAAACAGAACGAAGCTCGATCGCCCAAGTACTAATGTATAAAATTAATAACTGTATATACGAATTAACTCATAACCAATGTATTCGAGCCCTGTCCTGACGTTTTACTGATTATTGATGATGTTTACTTCATTTCATAGTAAATGACTCACTCTTTAACCTTAGTGTATACCTTTATCGTATCGTACAACCTTAGGTAACGTTCACATCAAAAACATTTATTTAAAAAACGCAAAGTATAAGTCGCTAGATATATTTGTAGATATAAGATACTAAATCTAATAATAATGAACAATAATATCCATTTTTTAACTGGGGATAATAAATTAATTACATAAAAAAATGTCAGTGTATATTGTATGTTTGTCTATAGAAACTTAAGTATGTTTGTTTGTAGAATAAACTCGAAAAATATAATTTAAAAAAAACTGTTATAGGTCAAAATAGTATACAATATCATCAAGAACCATAAGCTCTATTGCACTTACGCAAAGCGGCGGGATAAAGCTAGTTTTTACATATGATAAAATCGTAACGAGTTCGTCTTCGGCCGCTATTTAAGTCCTTCCGCGGTTTTGGACTGGCATCTTCACTCTCCTCCTATCATCCGGTGAAGGTGGAAAGGCCAGCTAAGGCCAACAGCATTAGAGTAGGTAGTCTGAAAAAAAGGCATCTACACTTACCCAAAACTGCGAGTACAACTAGTAATAAAAAAATGGGTGTGCACGATTGTTAACTTCAGGCTAAAGACGTTCTGAGCTGTCATCGGTCAGCGTTGGGGACGCGTCTCGACGCCGATACAAAATAGCTACCGACGAAAATAAAATACCACATTCCTGGGCACTGCCAAAAATTGCTTGTTTTTGTTTACTTTATACGTGTTGGTTTTGTTATATTTGTTGAATAAAGCATGGAGAAGGCGTTGAGGGCTGTGGAGTTGCTTGCCAGTATTCGCCTGGAATTATATATGAGAACGATTCGTTGGAGATAAATTAAATGTAACATCCGTCTTTTAGTAAATGTAGTATTTATTAAATGACGGATGTTACATATAATTTATCTTCTTCAACGTATCGCTCTCATGTTTGTAACCGTATATAATTCCTAATGTATTCATTATTATTTATTTATATACATATTAATAATGACCAGGGTTTCATCTTCTAGAAATTTATAGCTTATGTTATTTTGATGTAGAAGCTGTATTATTGTAAATTTTCATTATAATCCATTCAGTAATCTTTGCGTGAAAGAGTAACAAACATCCATTCATCTATCCATACTCACAAAAATTCCCGTATATAATATTACTAAGATATCTTACTAATATTATATACGCGGAAGTTTAAGAATAAATATTAAGATAGACCCAGAAGGGGATTGTATGGAATATTTTTAATAAATGATTGTGGAATGGTGCATCCGCCTGCACTAACAGTATACGCTGGTGGACCACCGTAGAAGAATGATAGGAATTGCATGCAGTCAGGTCATCAGTCCACATTACTAATAATCTTCTTTCCCCCACATTCCTTATGGGAACCAGTTAGAAATAGTAGTAGGTGCTTACCTAGTGTAAATAACAGCAGCACGGTGTACCACTGTTAAATTTTGCTAGCAAGACGAGTTTATTTACTTATTGAATCTCCAACAAGATGTACTTACACTATTAATGCTCTGAACACTCAGCAGTGGCATAATAAATACGCAAAAATAGATTACCCTACAATATGGTATGGCAGTATGGTAAGGAGTATGTGTCTACTCTATGGTACAGATATGTATCTATTCGTAGATAGCACTATTTGTGTAATGAAGCTAATAATATTGGTTATTAAAATATAGTTGAGTCGGCAATTCATAAGAGAGGTAGCAAGACTAACTTTGAGCTACCTTTTACCAAGCTTTCTTAACTATATTATAAGTATTGTTAGCATACAAAGTATATATGTATATGTTTAGTGTTGTCATAGATAACATGAAATTTAATTTATTATTTGAGTTTATTGTCGGTTCAACTGAAGTAGCTAATCGAAATGAACTGTAAGATAAGATATATATATTTATATATGTATTATTTTTACATAAAATTATATATTTTGCCTTGTATTGTTTTTGGCATGATTCATTATATATAGACGTAACAAAAATTGTCCTGTAGGAATAAATAAATTTAACTGTAACTTTAATAAAACAAAAAATAGTAATAATTATATACATACATATCATAGACTGCTGACGTTCAATGAATACAATTTTTCAAAACTATATCGTAAATTAGTGTATTTAATTTATATTCAAGAATATAATATATTGTAATGTTTATAAATTTAAAAATCTTTATATAATTACTTTGTAACTATCATAATCTTCGTCATTATTTCAGCCTGTATTTATATACTGTTGGATATAGACCTTCCCTAATCTTATAGTACAGACAATCTTATAGTACATATACATATAGTATTTATAAAACAAAATCGTTACTGCTGTCTGTTCGCTTATATCTTTGAAATTATGCAACGGATTTTAATGAAATTTTCAGCAGTAGATAGAGTAATTTAATCAATAATACATACATAAAAGACGAGAAATTAAAAAAAATTTAATGCATCCGAGTCGACGTCGGGATGAGTCGCAAGTACATATTTAAGATACAATGACAAAGAGTTCAGCTTTTGATAAATAATTAGTTAATATTTCCGTGTTAATATACTCTCTTTTAAGATCGCAGAGTTTACATAAACAAACTTTATTGTGCTATTTCACAGCTTGTATACCCTACTACGGAAGACAGCCATAAATCTTGCAATCCTAGCCGTTGGCGAAAGTAACTATACAATATAAGCAAATGGGATTTCTAATTACCCATTTCCTTGTTTGATACAGTAGATATGACGATGCGACGTTGTAATGTAGAACAAAACATTGCATTCCACATTTCTGATGCAGGTATTTACTTATCTACGTAATAAATGCGTACGTAATGTCGGGCCGCTCAGAGTTTGCGTTTCGGACAGTTTGGATCCAATGGGCGATGTAACTTTGGACTTGCGTACAAATTACGGCAAAATTTTAAGCATTTTTATTTGCTATATATGAGTGATAATATTAAAACTTTAATAATTATATGTTTCAACTTACAATAAACGTATTAATTTTGGACTATTCAAATTCTAAAAACAATAATAACTTTGAAACATCGCTGTTGTGTGCAACTATGTAGGTACGTACATCAGTTCAAAGTTACATCGCCCATTAGCGGACTGTAGCTCATTTGAGAACTTCGTAGCTTAGTTGTTTAAAAGCCGAGTTAAGCTCGAAGGTCGTGAGTTCAAATATGACCAACATCAAAAACAATTTCGTCAGTTTATGTCTTTGATATAGATATAATATTGACACAAATACACTAAATTAATCCGAGAGACTCCACTAGACTTACAACGTGGTATTGTGTGTTACAGACGTGTTGAATTCAAATACTTATATAACCCGAACGAAATATAGGTACCTATGTCAAATGTAGCTACGACATTGTACCTTTTAAATTTTTTTAATCGTCTCTAACTACTTGTTAATGGGTTATGAAGATATTACGATATTCATTACAATATCTTAATTTCTAATAACTACAATACAAATTGTTTCCTACAATTACTGTACCTATTTAAAAGTAGTCTGTCATTGGTAGCACGTGCTTTTTTTCGGACTGCGTCCAAGAATCCGATACTAGGATGCTGCTAGCTCGAAGGTCGTAAACAGTCGCCATATCTACTCGTATATTCTACCGTTCATTCATAAATAACATGTCTGAAATACAAAAATAATTATTTTTTACTAACCACGGCTGTAAAGTTTAGAAAAATCAAAAATCTTAATAAAGCCATTTATAATATAATATTAATCTCAAGATAATTCACAGAGCGCCATACCTAGGCCTACCTAGACCCAAGTAATGCTAGCTAAAGCTTATGTTATGGGTACTATATAATTGATACAAAGGCATTTTTTTTTTCGTATATACATACATATTATACATAGAAAACACGCAGATAATCATACTCACGAATACAAATGTTTGCAATGCCGTGGGAGGAATTCAATCTCGACCATCGGAAGTAAGGCCGTGTGCTAAACCGTATTGACAACAACAACCGTTTGTATTGTTCACTAACGCCGTCTGATGTCATAAGTAGAAACTGTTGATGATATTTTTATTCATAAAATTATACAATATAATAAATATATATCTGTCTGCGAGTTATCTTATTCACGACTAAAAGCTAAATGGATTTTAATGAAATTTAACGTAAAGATAGATTGTATTACGAGGAACGTACAACGTCAATATTTTAATAGTTCAGCAGTCGCGGGAGCGTTTATATGTATCACCAGATTGTAATTAGTAAACTTAGTCTTTCTATCGTGAACTACCTAAAATATCCACGTAGAAATCTATGGTGATGGATTGCGGCGGGCTAAAAATTAGGCATGAAAACTAGACTGGATTAGATATAATATTTTAAAGTTGACTGACAATCAAGTAAACAATGAAGTTAGTATATATAGAAATAAGTTTTGTATACGCAGCAATATGGCAAATATCTTATCAGAATTTAATATTATTAGTAATGTCATGGCCAGATATATTGTTACTACTTAAATATAATACATTGACAAAACTTATTTAGCATAAGTTTTATCTGTAAACTTATTATATTATCGTAACTAAAGTACTAATTTAGCTAAAAAAAGCTACGCATCTACATTATCTCTATATATGGCTATAACATACGCAACTTTCTAATGTGAATATAGATTAATATCTAAAAAGTCTTATAAAACTGGTAAGAGCTAAAATATTTATTGAATACATATAAACATCATAGTGTAATAAGAAATTATAATATTAGAAGTAGTAATGATTAGATTTCGCATAATAGGTATGCATTATATCAATTATTATTATTAATTTATAGTATTATTATTAATTTAATACAAATGCGCATAAAAATATATATATCTACCATTTATTAGGGAGCAGCTAGTTTTACCTCAAAGGAAATATAGACAGGATTTGATTTCTAAAAATAATATGTAGGCGTCTGCAGCGAGAGTTTATGGTAATAAGTAACATTATAGTGGACATAACGTCCACAGAAAATAATATTATACTACAAAATATCCGCTCAAACTTGCTCTTTCTCTTTCTCAGCTCTTTCTTCATTAACTATTCATTATTTTATATACTTAATTACACAACAAACAATAAAACAAAAGTACTCGCCTACTGCTACTTTTGTTTCGTATTTACATTTATAAATCCAGTCGGATTACCATAAGATTTTTTACTAGCCAAAAATCATGGGGTCGCTTTATTAGTAATCCAGTGCAAATGTGTATATTCTTAAACCGATGGTGGAGGAAGAAGGCACCCTTAGAGCTCCTGAAAATTTTTGGACATTACATATCCCTCGACTTATGGGTGTCGCTCTAATCTAATAAAAATCCTGTGCTTAAGTTATATTATATTGTAATTTTCCATATCCATATATATATGTCTACAATTTATACTTAAAATTAATGCGAAAATATGTGTCTGTCTGTCTGTTTGATATATGTCACGTCCAAACCGCTGAACGGATCTCAATGAAATTTAATGTGATGATAAATGGTATCACGTGGGCAGACGTATTCTATATTTTATATAAAAAAAGTAGACAAAATCACGTAAAGCAGCCACTAGTAGGTATATTATTATTAAAGAATGCAGTCCTAATTTTTGTTCCCATTACAGAAATAGAGCCGCCATTCCCGAACCGAGATGTCACCATCAAAAGGAATACGGATGTCAACGACTTCTACGACATGCTATCGGAGATTGGACGGTAAGTGTTGGAAACTAAAGCATTTTACAATAAAAAAAAACGTCTTTATTCTATAATTTCAATTAAAAACGATACAAAAATAACATAGCACAGATTATAATAACAGAGAAATCATGTTTCTCTATTTTACTCATATTTCAAACCGTCATTGAGACGGTAGTATATTTTAGTTTAGCTAACAATAAAAAAAAATTATGGTAAATAACCATAAACATGGGTAAATATTTAGTATTTAATATATTTAAGCTTTTTAATTTTAGGTTGTAGTTGTACAATTAAGTTATGTATATAAAAATTCAATCAATAACTAAGTTGATGTTAATAATAAAACATATCGTCCTATCTTCATATTAAATATTATTAATATTCGTTTAGTATTTACCATAGTCGTAGAATACGTAGTGCGTATGTACCTACTTAAGTATACATATCATTGTTCCAAATTAATGGATCTAATCGATAACATACGAATACAAATTATCTTATCACTACGATGTTATCACAAAAAGAGCTAATCATTTTTTTTTAATTAATTAATTCCGCATTGTCTTTTTTATTCGTCTCTTTATTATAGATATGTATATATTTCAAAATACAACCGGAAGTTGCAAATGAACGTGACAGATAGAGTTAAGTACGTGAATATAAAGATATAAAACAATGTAACGTCCTAAGAAGTATTAAAGTAACGTCTATTATTTTGGTAATTTTCATTGTTTTTTTACTACAAAACATATATACAGGGATCCTGTAAATGGACATATATCTAAATTTAATAATTACTGTACAATGGTAAAATTAAATGACACAGAAATAATAAACAAATAAAAAATCGTAGTGGCGTGAATCATATAATCACGTTATATACATATGCAGTCCTATTGCTAACTACTGTTATGCCTCCTTGTAGGTACTCTGTACACAGTAATTATTACCATATCTCAACCTAAAAATATATTTTATCATATAATAACTTTTTATACCCTCCTGATATTACACAATAAGTGGTATGATATCTAAGAGGACTATGGTCCTCTGGATTGTCAGCGTTTGAGTGGTATCACGGGCTTTATGATAACATGATGTCCGTAGTGCTGTTCATATATATAGCAATGGTTACCACGTACCATCAGGTGCCATTTAATTAGCTAAAAATGCTGATGTTATAATCTGTTAATTCCACAGCGGAAAATTCGGCACAGTATACCTCTGTCGGGAGAAGAGTACCGGTTTGGAGCTCGCCGCGAAGCTGGTCTCCGTCAGTCGAAGAGATGAAAGGCGCAACGTGGAGAGAGAGGTGGACGTGATGAGGAGGCTCCGACACCCTCGACTGATCCAGCTATACGATGCGTACGAGTGGGGGAAGTACATGTGCGTCGTCCTTGAGTTGTGAGTAATATTTTTATTTATTTTATATCCAGAATTATAAAAAAATCTAATTTATTCCTAGATTACGTCATACTTTAAAACAAAATGTTGGGGTTACAAGGGGGGACGGGGGTTTAGAGAGGTCTTAAATATAAATATTTTTACTCATCAGTTCGGAGTGCTTTCGAGCTAAAAAGAACTGTCAAGAAACTCATTTCGTATTATTTTCAAATGAGCATGTCCATGTTTACAAAAGTACAGATTATTTAAAAAAAAAACACAAAAGAGTTAGAAATGACCCTGCATGATGAGTCATGAAAGTTAATCGTTCCAAATAAAGGAAATGCACAAAGTGCAACGTCACCTTGCAAATGGTTGGATATTTATGTTTTTCCGTCATTTCCAACCTACCTACATATAAGTTAGGGAACATAATAGAAAACATTATACAGCCATATTTTCGTGATAGTTTATTTATTAAACCGCCAAAGTGGGCGTGAATAATGTACACTCGACACACTGAATCACTAAGCTATGCCAAATGGCTGCGCCAGCGCATCGGTCGTATGAATTCCGCGTGCATTCTAAAATCGTTCCATTCAAACGATTCCGTCGCGAGCGCTGACTCACTGCTGGATGGATATGAACTCTGGATCGCATCAGCTTTGTTTGACTGCATTTATATCGGTCAAGGTTCGCAGTTATCCGCATCTTCGTCTGTTGACTAACATATTGATAGTTCATTTATCTCAGCCTCTGTGGTCTAGCTGTCACACCGCTTTACTTCCAATGGTCGAGTATTCGATTCCTCGCACAATGGAAACATTTATATTAAACAATATAATTGTTTGAATTGGTCTGGGTGTTTTCATGTTTATTACGTATGTATTAAACAAGAGAAAATATTTAAGCATTTCTATCAATTGTCTAGTAGAGAATTGATGTTCTATGATGAGAACAGAGCTCTACTTAGCTGGGACTAGATAGTGCTGTGTGAATTGTCCAGGGTTATTATTATTTAGTAGTATTATAAGCAGATGAAAGATATTTTATAGAAATACTTATTTTATATACAAAATGTTTTTATGTAACGACCGACGAACCCCGCTTAATGGTAAACAGAGCCTCCGACACTGTCGACTGTCACTGGAGACAGAATGCTAACGCGATCTCGTGACTCCGGTAATCACGATTCCTGCCCTCCCCCAGGTTGTGGTTAGTCAGGATTCACACGTAAAAAAGCATTAAACACTAGAACTGTGACGCATTACCAAATCAGAAGAAATCTTTTTGAAGATCATATAATTTTTAGGAAAAGCTTGGTAGAGAATCAACTTCCAATAAAGTTTGTGCGAGAAATCTACGCCGAAAACGTATATTACAAGTTAGTTCCAAGGTGTGGGGTTCAATTCCCTATCGTTGGCAAGCAAGTGATTCGATGCTATCTGTAGACATTAGTAATATAATTTTAGTATAATAGTAGATACAAATGTTATGCAAAATTATTTATCTGTTACTTATACATTACCCTACTTAATTGTACTGCACGTATAATCTTACTAATATTATATAGGCAAGTTTGTTAGTATGGACGGATAGATGAATGGATGGATGATTTTTACTCTTTCTCGGAAAAACTAATGATTGGATTTTGAAAAAAAATACAGTAATATAGCTCATCAGACATCAGAATAATACAAAGGCTACAATTTCAAAGATACTATGTAACTTGGTCGAAAATATCAAGTCAGTGTGACGCAGAGGTAGTTGCGCGAGTAAGCTAGTATATTACATAAAATACAATGCTTCCTTACCATGAAATTTCCCTGCGTTATCTCAACGTACATACGAAAGATATCTTACAAAGCTGCTTGACCGCAGCAATAGTTAAAACAGAGTAAATGTAAAGTGGACGAGTATGTACAAAGTTTATTATAAATAGGCATAATGAAGAATCCGCGAAGATAATTATAATTAGGTCGCCTGTTGACGGATCGACGCACGACGTCGCGACGCGTGGACAGGTGTGCAGTGTGGGTACGCCTTCTCAACAATTAATTATTTAAGTTTCACTTTTACTATGACGTCAGAGGTTTAGACTTAGATTTAGGCGGTTCATTAAATTTATTAATAACACCCTTGATTATATATGGCATAATTTTATATAATAAGTTACGTTCGTTACGGTGATTTTAATTATTAATTAGTACGGTTCACGTTCTATAGATTCCATAGTCTAACTTCGTTAAGTAATATTTTAGTCTATCTTATCTATATCAAGACGTAATAGTCTTTTTTCATTTAATATTTATGTCAGTCGTATAAAATGTAACATTACGAAGAAACGGATTGTGTTTCTGAATCTTAACAGACAAAAAAACAAATGTAAAATTGGAACAGATCAATAAACTATCGAAACGGTGAAAGCCAGTTGTCGGATAACGCTGAATCATAAAATATCCGTTGAATTAGGTATGTGTGACTGGAAAGTAATAATATACACGTATAAATTTTGCAAAATAAACAAAATCAGGTGATTCTCGGGTTATGCGGTCACCAACAATGTTTTGAGTCAGCAGACGCATCGCCTTACGGATTATGAGACTCCATTTGTTACAATCACGTGTTTGTTAATATGCTCACGACTTTTAACGTAGGTGGAATATACAGAGTCAATAATATAATTCACCGATTATAATGAATACTGCTACCATTTCTATTAGCATTATTTATAATACCTCAAAAAGAAACAATCCCTGATTCTTCCGGATTCATTGGTATTTTAAAGTATGCACTAACAGTGTGGTATAAATTTATTAGTATTAAAATATTATTAATAACTATACAAAATTTTGGATTCATCAAATTGGATATGTGTTGTGTAATTACACAATTCCGAGCTTCAAGGTCTATATTAAGTTAGAATCACAAGACTCCAATAGTCTGGTCATATCTAGTAATAGTCCAATTAATAGTTAAGACAATTAAGTAAGAACAAATAGATCGTAACTCAAATAACACCAAAATAATCGTCCTTCAGACTACACTAACCTACGTACCCGATGATATCATCATGTGTGCGAAATTTTTACACTTGTCTATTGTTAGACTTAAAACCATTAGAAATTTTCGTCTAATTAGATACACAGTCTAAATATTATGAGGTTATAGACAGTAGGTTTACTTTTTCTATCTATTATAATGCTGTACATGATAGTAGCTGGCCTTTACAGCTTCATCGGTTCAAAGAGGAGGCGATTGCAGCGTGCATTCCAAATCCGCAGATGTTCCTATGGAGCAACTGAAGGCCAATGCCTGACGGACGCGGCTTTATTCCGGTTCGAATTTTAGCTCAAGCCACTGAAATTTTGATCCTCGTTGAAACGGGAATCGATTGAATGGGAGTTCCGCATATCACGGAAAGAAAATTTTATACTTCTGTGACATCTAACTTTTAAAATAAAGTAACTATATTTATCGAATTAGACACGCCTCAGAACCACACCTCTTTCGACTGATATCATTTCCTCATGTCGGAGACGTCTGTTTGGCAGCACTACAAACATCATTAGATATTCACATTTTTATTTTAAAATATTTTGCCAGGACTTTGGAAACAACAAGCTACATCACAGAATATAAATATTGCGATATTTATAAATCTATAGTTGTAATGGTTTTGTGTAAAGTGCCTAAAATAATCTATACTTATATATATAATATTATAAAGCTGAAGAGTTTGTTTGTTTGTTTGAACGCTTTAATCTCAGGAACTACTGGATCAAATTAAAAAAATCTTTTTTGTTGGATAGTCCATTTGTCGAGGAAGGTTTAAAGCTATATAATATTACGTTACAACCAATAGAAGCGAAGCATCTGTGAAAAATGTTGAAAAAACGGGGAAAATTATTCATATTTGAGGGCTTCCGTTGCGTGAGCCACGCGTAGTCGCGGGCACAGCTAGTACTTAATAAATATAGGATTTGTCATCATCAGTAGGTATATTAAATCGAAAGCCATTCAATGGCAGTATTCATGTGCCAAGTAACTCAGCTCATGTCAAGTCTAGTCAAGCTCTATCCAAAGATTGTCTTCAAGAGATTGTTTAGTAATCAGATATTAATTTGTATTATTTCATGTAAATTGATGGTAGGCTAATGATAGGCACGTGTAGAAATAAATTAATAAAATAAACTGAAAATTTCACACAAATTATACAAAATAATATTTTCATTTGTGTGAAACTTACGACTAACAAAATTATAGATTTGATTTTAAATTTTGTAATACTTCTACAAAAAAAATCAATTCGAATACAAGAATAGTCGTAAATATTAATTAAATTTTGCGAATTAATATTAATCAAAGCACTACTTCCAATTATTATTTTTTTTAACCATTTCATTGAAAAATGCATTGATAATGGCAACATCTTTTTGGCTGTCGGTTAAAAATTATAAAGGAAACCTTCATCGAACGAAGATGGCGTCGTAAAATGGCGACGCGCCAACTATGCGCCGTAATATCTGACGCCTCTTGACGCCACTGTTGCTTTTATAAACACGTCTATACCGTGCCGATGCCATTTACGGGAGCACTTGACTTTGACGCATGTTAATACTGGGTTATACGTTGCGTCGTGTAAACATAGGGATCAGTTGTGATGTATTTATGTACAAAACATTACGGTCACTCCGGATTTGGAATATCCGGTATATGCGATGGATAGATCATCTGTCCATCGCTTCTCTATCTATCATAGATGTATAGCAGTTCGCTATACTTAGATATGTATAGATATTCATCAATCACATAGATAAAACTTTGTGATTGATGCATAGGTCTATATATTTTCATACTTTATTTGTTTACATATACTTATTTTCTGATGTTAATAAGGTCGTATATATAGTAAATATACATTCCAGTCAGGAATTTGTCACCGAAGACAATAGCTGTATAATGAATGAAATAAGACCTTTGGTCTTTCCTACCGAACACAATTCTGAAAAAACGATACT